TTGCAGTACATTACTCTGTATTTTATGCAGTATTATTGTTTATGCTGTACATCAATGTATGCTTGATACAGTAGCCTACTTTATCGTTGTTCATGCAGTACATTACTCTGTATTTTATGCAGTATTATTGTTTATGCAGTACATCACTGTATGCTTCATACAGTATCGGTGTTAATGAATTGAACTTGTTTTAGTGGAAAAATAAAATTCAAATTATTAAACTTAAATTATGTTTATTGCACTTGATTTATAAAGACCTGTCAACTTTATCCTCGGTTAAGACAACTTCACAATTTAAGTTCACAAAACGTAAATTATGTTTATTGCACTTGATTTATAAAGTCCTGTCAACTTTATCCTCGGTTAAGACAACTTCACAATTTAAGTTCACAAAACTTAAAATTTTAAGGCAGCACGAACACTTACTTTTTTAAGTTGAAACAACACTTTTTTTTTTTACAGTGTAACTATAAGCAATATAAATTTCTTACCTTAGCAAACACTACTAGTAAAGAAATAAGATGTCATGTGTAAATTGTACTTTAACTGAGAGGAAACTAGTAGAGGCTTGTCTGAGCTCATGCTGCATTCTGTCGGAATATCATAAGTGTTGAAGTGTACATGTGTGTTACGTCACTGCACTGTTGAGACATTGTGAGCTCGGTAGGACTGAAACTTCCTTATCAATAAACCACGAGTTTAGACTCAGTGATTTTCAGATGTGTTGGTTTGACTGATACCATCAAATTCCTGTGGGTTTTTTTTTCTCACTTGCTGTGAGAATAGGTTTTTTTTTGTGATCTCACATATATGATGTGTGTGTTAGTGTTTCCAATCAAGTCTATATTAATGTTGGTGGATGGTTTTGGGTATGATGACAGATAAGACTGTCTAGCCAGTGTGTGGATGTGGTAATTAGAGTTTAAAATGGTAGAGCTTTAAGCTGTGTGTTTTTTATTGATCTTTTTCTTCTATAAAACCATGTTAACCCTTGGGTTGACTTTCTGGTTTCAAGTACTGAGCCATTACTAGCCAACAAACAAGTTTATGCAATAAATAAGACACAAATAATGTGATTTAATTTGACTCACCTGGCATGTCTTTGATTGATGTGACTAACAGCTTTATTCTTCAGGACTCTACTAACCAGTAACCAATGTGCCTTTTTCCAAACAAAATGCGTCACTTGTGCCATTCCGTTCCTCACCAATAGATGAAGCTGCTGTGCTGCATGTAGTAGTAGCATGAAGTGAGACAAGGAAATACATCATTTTGTGGAACAGTTATTCATATGTCATAATATTATTAATTAGCACTAAAACAGCTGTCATATTCTGGCTTCAAACATTAGAAGTGACCATGGAAAGTTAGATTTCCTACTTGCTGTACGTGTCATTTTGTGTTGTTTCTTGGGAGGTACACAAATGTTTGTCCTGATCCTGTTGGCTTATTTCAGAAGGCTTAAATCTATAGACAGCACAGAATTAACAAAATTAGCAGCATCCTTGTAAGTCCAGGTATTGGTATGCAGTTGTAGATTGTGTCCTGTATTCTGTTGTTTCTGTACTGGCACAAACGTCTGTATAACCCAAGTTTTGGCTAAAAAAAGGGCTATTTAACAATGTTATTGACCAGGAAAAAAAACTTAATTTTAATTTTATATAATTGTACGATATATGTGACCCTGTCTGTGAAATCCAGGCTAAAGTCTCAAAATCTAATTATGAGATAACAAGCATCAAAGTTTGATTTCAACCATTAATTTCACTATGATTTCAATCTTTGACATGGCCTTACTCAGTCAATATTAAAGATATAAAGGTTATGTTTTCACAGAATGTTCTACATCTTCATGAAGGATGATTTTATGTAGAAAACAGTAAATCACAAAAAAATTACTTTAGCTGGGACATATGTATAAATTACACACACACACACAAAGAGAACTTATATTATATATTGTAAAAAGGGGCATAATATGTCACCTTTAAGATATTTATTATTAATATAAGAATTGTATATTTGTAATAATTTTATACTAGCGTATATATAATTATAATAATAATTTATGTTTGTTCATGATTTAGGACAG